GCAGAGATTTGCAGCTGCCTTCCATTCGGCAGTCCATTCAGTCGAGGAATGAGAGAGTTTTCGAAAAAACGGAAACTCACGAAAACCCGTTAGTTAGGGAAGCCACAGATTATGCTGTAGACGACCCCTCCCGATATAGAAGGCCCCGACACTCTGTCGAATGAGGCCCTCATGTCCCCCGTTAAAGGATGAATAACTTTTTCATCCATCCCACCCCAGCCAGGTAGGGGTATCCCGTGAAGGGCGGCACTGATGTCTAAGGACTTCATGCCGTCATCCATCAGTCATGTACCCATTGGCCCATCTCAAGGCCAATGATCAGCCGAAAGGGTAGGGGAGCTGGTCTCCAAATCCTGAATGAACTGAAGATGATCGTCAAGCGTTTGGTCGTGATACTCAGACGGTTCACACCGTTCTGCTCGGTACTGATGATGGGGCAAGTACCCCGAAACAGGTCTATCAACCCGTTTATCAGTTGGTCGTATCGATCAAACGAAATTGATTTCTGCTTTTCATAGTGGGAAATAACTTGCGACGAATCTTCTATATCGAAGACGTTGCCCAGTTGCCTGATGGTTTTATTTCAACTTTCTGCGCGGCATTAGCTGGGTTAGGTTAGGAAGTTGTTGCTTTTCCGTTGGGTACCTACAAAGTCGCAGGTCTACATGAGAGGCAAGGGGTAAGGTGTTTTCTCCTAAACCTGGAGGAGGAGTAGCTCAATTGGCTAAGTTAAGGAATAATGCAGGAAGTAAAATCGCGTGTAGCAGTCAGAGGCAGAAAGATTGTAAAACTCTTTTTTCTGTTCTAGTATAACAATAATAATAGTTTCCATAACAACAATACTTTTCACAATAACATTACTACAAACAGCATTAACAACAATGTTCCTCAAATGACATTTAATTTTCACATCTAGGTAGTCTTTCACATAATCTCAGAAACATTTTTAGTCAATTTGAACAAGTGAAATCAGCTTTCAGAAACTTGAAGACTATCAATAAACTTTTATCTAATTCAAAAGGCAAAGAAGATATAATTAACTCATCCAATGTGGTTTATTCCATCCCTAGTTCCAGTTATGGGAAGATTTATATTGGCCAAACGAGTAGAAAATAGAAAGACAAAATTACTTCGCACAAGAGTGACATAAGATGCTATAAACCATCTTGCACCCTTTCTAAACATACAATTGATTCAGAACATGGCTTTTCTTTTGATAATGTTCAAGTTTTAGATTCAGAAAATAATAGTCAAAAAAAAATTGTTGGATGGAGCCTACTATGTAGTAGGGAATCATAATGAAGGAAAGAGAAATGAAACTTTCTATGTTTTTTACCACTTTTATGAAAGTGGTGAAAAGCGGTAAAAAACATAGAAAGTTTCATTTTTCTTTTCTTCGTCAAAAAAAAAACTTTCTTAGAAATGTGGCATATATTTAGCGATTCAAATACTATTAATTCCAGGACAAGCATTAAGAGGCTAAGCCTGATTTATTCAGTAAAGGAAACGCTTTACCTTCACTCTCTGTTATGTATCATTTTAAAGTTCTGTGAGATCTCATTGACATACATCACTTTAATGGTCAGAACAAGAAATTCTATCAAACACTCTCTGTCAAATTTCATGTGTCTTGTCAATCATGTCCCACAACCTGTTCAGTTTATTTTCTAATACTTTATTACATATTATCTCATTTTATCACAAAAATATTATATAATGTTTTATGTTTTAACCAATTTCAATCTTGACATACAAATATGAGGATCATCTCTGCTACTTCTTTTTAAACTTCATTTATGGAACTTAGTGCTTGATTAATCGATTATATATAACCGAAATAATCTTTCAAATTTGATATTTTTCCGATTGAATAATATCTGATGATTTTTTATAGATTTTGGAACATTCGATTTCATCATAGTTGGCGGTGGCTCTGCAGGAACTGTAGTGGCAAGCCGATTATCAGAAATTGAAAAATTCAGTGTTTTGCTTTTGGATGCAGGAAATTTCGGAAATAATCTCACAGACATTCCTAATATGTATTTTCCAGTTGACTTCACGGAATACAATTGGGGATTTTTCAGCACACCACAGAAAACATGCTGTTTAGGTGAGACATTTACTTTACTGAGAATCACACAGTTGAACATTTGGAAATGTATGCTAGTATGATATGATATATATTGAAAATGATCCCATTTTACTATCGACCAAACATATGTCAAAGCATCATATTCATAAAGGTTTTGGAAAATCTTCGGAATATGCGAGAACGTTCCAAACGAAACTTTCAGTTTATTTGAAGGTGGTTAACAATGTTTTGTGGTTCAGTTCGGACTTCCATTGTCTATATAATGTAAATTGATTTGACAACCCTGAAAAAAAAAAGATTAACCAAAAATAACAATTTTATCAAACAAAAAACTGAAATTACAAAGAAATAACATACAAGCAACAACCGAACAAATAAAAATTGAAATATTATTGAAAGAGAAAGATTGTAAAACTCTTTTTTCTGTTCAAGCTTTCGAGGCGTTTANTTAAAAGATTTCAAACCAAATTATGTCACGACGTTTCGATTGTTAGTATCCACTATCATCTTCGGGTGATAACTGGACTTATTCCTCCGAGATCTGACTATTTATAGGTTAGTAACTCGTCCGCTAGATGGAGTGACATTTTGTGATGTTCACTTCAACTACTTCGGAAGAAGAATGAAATACTCTGAAAAAATTCCGATTTTCAATTGTGAAATATCATTGACTTGGTCAATGATGGTCACTATCTTGCACTGCCGAGTGGCTAATGAGCCCAAAACCGGTCTGCAAGTGTGCCCGTTCCTAAATTAAAGGTCGACTCTTTCAGTTGTATTGCCAATTGCATATGCAGGAAATTTTCTGTGAAAATTCCTGCACTGACGCCTGTCGGATATTATCCAACGCCCTTCGTGGTAGTAGCCAGGGGAGTAGTTGTTTTCTGATAGGCGTCAGTCCATTCAACCTACTGTGTATGTATATCGAAATTGGCTTGAACTTTTAAAGTTCATTTCTTTATATTTGTTTATTGCCAGTTTTCAAGCATAGCACACTGACTAATAAGAAATATTTATAAGTCATTCAAGTGCTTTCACCTATCCCCTCTTTCCGCTTCATTAGTTTTAGCGGGAGATGACCGTTTGGCGGGAGTTGGTCGTTTTTCGCTTCATTAGGGGTTTCCATATGTTAGGTATCTCTACGCTAGCTTGACTAAATGCGTTGTTCCTCTTCGTGTATGATTTCAGCTTGAGCCCACTTGATGTTATGTTGATGAGTCCAAACATGCTCTTCTATTCCGGATTTGCTGGTTTCTCCTCGCTGTGTGTGTTTCTTGTGCCCAGCAATGCGAACTTTCAATGGCATCCTAGTTTCACCGATGTATGATTCTCCGCATTCGCAGGGTATCCGGTAAATGCGTTTCTTGGAATCGCAGTCCGCGTTTGGTGGCGTGGTTTTCGTGAGGGTGCTAGGGATAGTGTTTCCAGATCTGAAGCAAATCCTGATGTTATACTTGCACCCAATCCGTCTTATCCTTTTCGATAATCCTCTGATGTAGGGAAGTACAAGTGCTAGTTGTGGCGGCTTCTCTTCCTTGTAGTAGAACATGCCTTAGCTAGAAGACAGCAAGAACTCCACAAGTAAAAGAAGCCGCCACAACCTGTACTTGTACTTCTCTACATGAGAGGATTATCGGAAAGGATGAGACGGATTGGGTCCAAGTATAACATCAGGACCTGCTTCAGATCTGGTAACTCTATCCGTAGCAGCGTCACGAAAACCTGGCCACCAAACGCGGACTGCGATTCCAAGAATTGCATTTACCGGATACCCTGCGAGTGCGGAGAATCATACATTGGTAAAACTAAGAGAACATTGAAAGTTCGCATTGCCGAGCACAAAAACAAATATAGCGAGGGGAAACCAGCAAATCAGGAATAGAAGAGCATGTTTGGACTCATCAACATAACATCAAGTGGGCTCAAGTTGAAATCATCCACCAAGAGGAACACTGGTTTAGGAGAATATTCAAAGAAGCCGCGTATATGTTGTCCAACAACGCATTTAGTTAAGCTAGCGTAGAGATACGTAACATATGGAAACCTCTAATCAAGCGAAAAACGACCAACTCTCGTCCCAAACGGTCATCTCCCGCTAAAACCAATGAAGCGGAAAGAGGGAAGAGGGGATAGTCCAGTTATCACCCGAAGACGATTGTGGATACTAAAAATCGAAACGTTGTGACATAACTTGGTTTGAAATCTTTTAATTTTTCTTTTTTCATTTTTTGTTAATAATATGTTTTGATTTTTTAATTTTTAGCTTTTATTAATATTTCAATTTTTATTTGTCTGGTTGTTGCTTGCATGTTATTTCTTTGTAATTTCAGGTTTTTGTGTAATAAAATTGTTATTGTTAATCTTTTTTTCAGGGTTGTCAAATCATTTTATATTACATTTAGACAATAGAAGTCCTAACTGAAGAAACTTTCATTATTGTACGAATACATCATCCAATACTAGGAATGCCCGTGGATAACACAGTTCCGCAGTACAACTTTCCAAAAGATTTCAAAATCGTCATACCAAGTAGAGGGGACTGGTAAAACGGCCCACGGGTAAAAGTGAAAAAAAATTGATATATAGATGAGTCAAAGACCCAAGAAGGAGTGGGAGTTGGTATATACGGAGGCAGAGCAAAGACGAGAATCGCACTCAGCCTCGTACATTTTGCAACTGTGTTCCAGGCAGAAGTAACGGCTATCTAACACTGTATAGGGAAAATAAACAGGCAGAAGGTCACAAGTGAAACTGTTGCCATTTTCTCCGACAGCCAGGCGACAATTGAGGCGTTCAGCTCATTTCAAGTCTTCTCAAAACTGATGGAAAGCTGTCAGAACGCACTCAAGCAGCTAAATACCCTAAATAGGGTCACTCTAGCTTGGGTACCCGGACATGAGGGTCACAAGGGCAATGAAGTGGCCAATGTTCTGGCCCGTGAAGGCGCATCCAAGGCTATGATCGGCCTAGAACCCTTCTGCGGTGTAGCGAAAGGATAAATTCATGGATGCAAACCGAATCGATAGTATGGTGAAATAAGCTCCCAGGAATAAAGCAGGCGAAAGAGTTCAGAAAGAAATTATCGCCCTGATTCATGGAAGACCTGCTAAACCACAACTGTGAGGTTGTAAGGGTAGTAGTGGGTCCACTAACGGGGCATAGCCGACTCAGGAAACATATGAGCGACATAAGTCTGACAGAAGAAACCCAAGAAGAGGAAGAAACAGCACTGCATTTGCTTTGTGAATGCGAAGAGATAGCAAGGCTGAGACGCAAGATGCGGGGAAGAGAAACCAGGGGCTGCCAGCTATATGAAGGGATCAGTGTCAAGGCTACGGAGTCTCATCAAAGAGGTCAAGCTAGACAATGAGGTCTATCAACCAAGGAGCATACAATAGATCTGAAAAGGTCGCAGTCAATCAGGCCATGGGCTAGCTCCCTGACAATATAATCTAATTCTGAATATTCAATCAACTGTAATTTTCCACTTAAAATATCAAGTGAAATTTCAAAATTCAAACACTGATTGAGAAGAATTTCTCGAAGTTGTTTCCTCTGAAATGATTTCCAAAAATATGATTTCTATCAATAATATTTTGAATTATATTTCAGGAATGGTAGATCGAAAATGTATTCTGCCCAGAGGAAGAGGAATTGGCGGCTCAACTCTAATCAATGGTGAAGTGTACGCAAGAGGGTCAAGCATGGACTTCGACAGATGGGCTAAACATGTAAACGACTACAGATGGTCTTATGAGAGGGTTCTGCCTTATTTCAAAAAGTCCGAAGATTTTCACCACCGGGACAAAGATGCACCGGTTTTTGAACCGGCTCATGGCAAAGATGGTTTATTGAACGTAGAATACCATTTACCTAAGAGTCCCCAGCTGGTATCTTGGCTGAAAGCAAATGAAGAACTTGGATTCAAAGTTGCAGATTACAATGCAGGAACTGGACTTGGGGCATCCACTGCTCAGTTGAACACAAAAAATGGTAGACGGTTTGATGGAGGAAAAGCGTTTGTACGTCCCTTTCTCAACAGGACAAATTTACGCGTTGTCACCTACGCCTATGTCACCAAAATATTAATCGACCACCACAGCAATTCTGCAGAGGGCGTGATATTCTCTCATGGGAAGAGAAAGTTCAGTGTCCGAGCTCGAAAAGAAGTTATAATTAGTGCAGGCGCTTTTCAGTCGCCTCAACTTTTGATGCTTTCGGGTATTGGTCCCAAAAAACATCTGAATTCTCTGAATATACCCGTTATCAAAGACTTGGAGGTCGGTAGCTTCCTCAAGGACCATCCTACTTTTTATGGTATGACCTTCAGTTCAAACTATACCGAACCAATAAGGTCGAAGGAAGAATACGTCGAAGAATTTCTGAAGGGATATGGTCCTCTTGCCGCCCCTGGAAATAATCAAGGAGTAGCATTTTATGAATCGCAATATACGAAAGGTAAGAACAGGACACATCTGAAGAAGAGATTTAATTTTTTCATAAATTCTATTCAAATTCACTACAGGAAACTTTTAAAATTACATGAAAATTGATATCGTTGTCAGAGTTAACTTATGTACGACGTATATAATGACAGAGTTTAATTGGGTAACTAATAATACTACTATTGCAAACTCTCCAACAAAGGTTGTTGTTGTTAGGTAAATGAAGTTACTTCCGTGTTAGTTTCATTAAATATGGAAACGATTGTCCATATCACATAATTGACCTTATTTTCGACATAATTTTCGAGCTGCTCGGTATAAACCTTATACTATATTTTTACTACTTGTGAAGGGTATCATTTTTTCAGTCCTTCCGAATCATCAAAAAAAAATGAGCTAATGAAGCTTCATTCATTTCGTATTTGTCCTCCTTTTCAGTACAACCGTTTCCTATAATAGTTTGTATAGGTATTTTGTTTACTTGTGATGCACTGTTTAGAACTTTTGGTGTAGTAATGAATATAACTGGAGTTTTATCCCAAGACCAAACCGTTATTTTAAACNAAGCTCGAAGACCTAAACACCTCAATACGTGTTTTGATCACCAAGTGATCATCTTCAAGAGGAAGATTGAACTGGTATTAGGTATTTTGTTTGTCATATCAACGCCATTGTCTATGGTCGTTTTACTTCAGTTGCTTCCTGCGTCAGTTTGTACGGGTCCAAGCCTAAGTTACGACGTGAAATTCGTCAAGTTGTGATCTGCTGAAGGATGAGTTCTTGTGAGTGACGCGAGATCTACAGTCTCCGTTTTGCAGCTCCGCTATGTTCTCTGAAAGAACAGTGTTCAATTAGTATCTAGTACACTAACAGGTGGTTCATGGCCAATGTATTGAGTTAACGAACTGTGCCAGCACATTGATCAACACCCAGCATGGAGTGAATCAATTGTATTGACCTCAGAATGATGTCTTTTGAACTCACTTCTGAAAGACGGATGTATATTGACCTTACGAGTGGCTACATGGTAAATTTTCAACCTTACAGTATATTACCGTGCCAAGTTTGGCTTTCGACCCCTCTGTATACCGCCAAACATCTTTTCGCGAAAGAAGCACAAGTGTTCATCCGAGTTACGGAGTCTCGGTGAATTTTCCAATTTTGATCGGCCTTTTATGCCACTACAAAATATAATAATATAGATTGATTCGAGTGTGTCTTCTGAGCTGCTGAGGAAATGGTGCACATAGCTCTCGATACTCCCAGAGCTGAAAGTTTTTACACCCTGCTTCACCCTCACCCTCACCCTACTAAACAGTTTCATCAATAATTTGTCGCTTATTTGATTTTTGACTACTAAATCAAAATGTATAAATATTGTGTACAGTGTGGTTTCCACTGCAACCTCGTCTTTTTTCTCATTCTGTTCAAATGTTGGTTTCAGGTCAGTTTGGGAGCTAGTATTGAATAGTATTAGATTAGATTGTCGGGGAGCTAGCCTCATGGCCTGATTCACTGCAACCTTTTCAGATCTATTGTGATGCTCCTTGGTTGTTAGAGCTCTTTGTCTAGCTTGATCTCTTTGATGAGGCTCCATAGCCTTGAAACTGACCCCTTCACATAGCTGGCAGCCTCTGGTTTCTCTTCCCCGCATCTTGTGTGGCTCAGCCTTGCTATCGCTTCGCATTCAAAGAGCAAATGCAGTACTGTTTCTTCCTCTTCTTGACAGAACCTGCATTGGGTTTCTTCTGTCAGACTCATGTTGCTCATATATTTCCTGAGCCGGCTATGCCCCGTTAGTAGACCCACCACTACCCTTACAACCTTACGGTTGTGGTTTAGCAGGTCTCCCGTGAATCAGGGCGATGGTTTCTTTATGAACTCTTTCGCCTGCCTCGTTCCTAGGAGCTTATTCCACCAATCTATCGATTCGGCTTGCATCCATAAATTTATGGATGTGTTTGTACATGCTTTCGCTACCCAGGAGAAGGGTTTTGTAGCGATCATAGCTTTGGATGCACCTTCAAGGGCTAAAAAATCGGCCTCCTCATTGCCCTTGTGACCCTCATATCTGGGTACCCAAGCCAAAGTGACCCTATTTTGGGTACTTAGCTCCTTGATGCGCTTAGCCAGCTTCCCATCAGTCTTGAGAGGACTTGAAATGAGATGAGCGCCTTATTTGCCGCCTGGTTGTCGGAAAAAATAGCAATGGTTTCATTTGTGACCTTCTGCCTGTTTATTTCTCCTACTATGGCGGCTACTTCTGCGTGGAACACAGTTGCATTATGTCCGAGGCTGGGTGCGATTCTCGGCTTTGCTCTGCCTCCGCATATAGCGACTCCAACTACTTCTTGGGTCTTTGAGTCATCTGTATACCAAGTTTCCTCCGTTTTTACAGGTGATTTTGAAATCTTTTCGAAAGTTGTACTGCGGAACTGTGTTATCCACAGGCATTCCTAGTTTTGGTTCTGTCTTCATTTTATTGTACAGTTTCAAGTATTCTGCACCGTGTGACTGGCTGATTTGGGTTTGCCTCTGCATTAGCCTGTGTGTCACCAGTCGAGCTTCTCTTTGTATGTAGATATGCAATGGTGGAAGTCCGAGTAGGACCTCAAGTGCTGCAGATGGGGTTGTTCTCATGGCTCCCGCGACACTTAGGTACGCCAGTCTTTGAATGCCACCTAATACCCTAGCCGTACCCGATTGCTTTGTTCTTGTCCACCAAGTCACTACACCGTATGTTATCATGGGTCTCACCACCCTTGTATATAACCAGAGTGTCATTTTTGGGTTCAGCTCCAGTTTTTCCCGCTCATTCTTCTGCAGATTCCCAGGGCCATCCTGGCCTTATGTACTGTTTTTTGAATGTGGAACTAGTATTACTACTTAGATATCCAATCTCACTTCGTAATTTTGGAGGATGAGCTTACATTGAACTCTTTTCTTGTCCCTCTAGATTATCATATTTGCTTGGAGTGGGATAACTATTTCATCTGAATCATCAAATCCATTTATGGACTAGAAGATATAGTATCTCGTCCATTACAATGAGAACTAGATCACTCTCATAATGGCTGTGTAAACCGTTCTTCCTTTGTGCAGGAGGCCTGAATGTCATTTTGGGGGATTCAAGTTCTAAATTGGTCCAGATCCCGCTGATAGAGTTACAATTTCTCATTCGAGGAAGTACCCAGGAAGAAAATCTTTTATAGTCTCTTCCATTTGATAGTTTCAAAAAAGAAATACAGTGAAATTACCAAATATCCAAATAAGATTGCTGTATTCACAAGTCGATCAATTTGTTTTCTGACTTCCAGTTCTCTTCCCCGAAGAGTCTTGTTATTTCTATGAAAATTTTCCAACGACATATATAATACTTTGCAAGAATCACTGATGCAGACATCTCCTTCCCAACTTGCCAACTTCTTAGTAACTATGTATTTGATTTTTCAGGTACAGGATATCCAGATATTGAAATCATGTTGATACCAGCTAACGCCACTGCCGATTTATCACAAAGAGCTTTTTCCCTCACTGATCAGACCTACGGCGATCTGTGGAAGAACATTAACAGGTCGAATAGTTACGTTATGTATATAGTTGGCCTCCACGCGGAATCTACTGGCAGTGTAAGGCTGAATAGCTCGGACCCATACGATTATCCAATAATTGATTCGAATTTCCTATCGGATTCCCTGGACAAAGACATCAATACAATTTATGAAGGGGTTCAGCTCGCGCTGAAACTTTCCGAAACGAAAGCGCTTCAAAGAATTGGTTCGAAGCTCGAAGACCGGTCACTGAGAGCTTGCAAAAGGTATCGGTATTTGAGCAGAGCTTACTGGTACTGTGCTATAAGGCAAGTGACAATGAATCTCTATCACCCGGTATCAACATGCCCCATGGGACCCAATCCTGAAAAAGGTGATGTTGTGGATTCTGAATGCCGAGTTCACGGAGTAAACAAGCTGCGAGTTGCAGATGCGAGTGTTTTTCCTTTCACTTTGGCTGGGCATCCGAATGCTCCTACTGTTTTGATTGGAGAAATTGTATCAGATCTAATCAAAAATAAACATCAGTGAATCATTACAGTGTTTTACTTTAGCATGCTCTTTTAGAATATGGACTGTAGGCTGATGGACCAATCTGCCAGTTAGTGGGTTTGTTATCAGTTTTTGATACATTAACTGAAAATTAAGTTTGAAATGATAGATAACAACCATGAAAAAAATTCATGTGTGAAAATAGTTATTTCGATTGAAATGGGCATATTTCTAGAAGAGATTAATTTAAATAAAAGTAAGGTTTTGGCTTTCTACTTCTCCATCATTATATAGAATAATGTGGAAATCTTCCAAAGGAAAGAAAGCAATCATTTTCAAAATAAACTCTACAAAGATGTGTAGATCTGTCAACATTTTGCAATTGACACTTGATGTGGGCTATCAGAATATGTCCATGAATCTTTTATATAGGGTGTCATCTGACTTGGGCCACCCCCATCTTTGAACTTTTAAATACGGACCTGTATTTTTTGTTGTATTTTTTGGATCGTAGACGTTCACTTCATACTGGGTATCTTGTAGGTTTTGTTAATGGTACTGAGAGGGCGAATTTCTATTGGTTTGTCCTTGAGAAGTCTCTTGAAAAAATTATGAGCCGCCAGGCAGATGTCAAACATCAATTATAATATTTTGCGACCCCTGTGATGATTGTTGGGTACAGAAATATTCATAAAAAATATGTAATTGAAATATAGGTATAATGTGGCTTTAATATACTTGTAAACTTGAGAATCTTAGCTAGAAATTTAAACCTTATCATTTTGGAGCACTGACAATAATTTGAAAAGAACCTCAACTCAAAACTGATGACTATAACATGGTTGTACTTCCTCACTTTTCTGTATTATCAGTGAAATTTAATAATCAAAGTTTTCGTTATTTTTCTAGATATCATTGTGATAAGCTACCAATATCGACTTAGTTCCCGGTTGAATATTGAAATCTTGAGTTCATCAAAGCTTCTGACCACGTCATCCAGTTTTAATAAGTTTGTCAATATTTATATTCCATTTCAATTTATTGTTAACATGAACACCAAGTTACTTCATTTGCATAGTTTCTTTTATTTGTGTATTCTTCTTAGAAATATTTATTGTAACATCTTACTTATTTTTTTATGAAACGTAATAAATTCAGTTTAATTTGGGTTAACTGAAAAAAAAACTGAGTAAAGCCATTTTTCAAAAAGTTTCAGATAATGATTAATTGCATTTTCTAAAATAATTGGGTTTTTATTTGCAAATAAAAGTACTGTATCGTCTGCCTATATTACATACTTACATTTCAATTCAATCTGGCAAATATTTTGTATGTATAATAGGTACAGAATTGGACCCACAACTGAACCTTGAGAAACGCCTTTATTTATTAAATGTCAGCCAGAAATCACTTCATTTATTTGAGTGCAAATAGTTCTTTTAGTGAAATATGAAGTTGAAAGATCATTTACTCTGCCTCTAATTCTCATTGATTCAAATTTTTTCAAAAGAATTTATGTCCAACAAAATAGCTACTACAAAACTTTCTTTATCAAGATTATCCTGAATAAAATTAACTACTTCCATATCTACTATTTGTATGCCACTTTTTTCTTGAGAGCCAAATTCAAAAGTTCATATTAAATTCCATAGTTTCTTGTGAATAATTGAATTTGAAGCTTTCTACGATTTTCTGCATATTTTTTAAACCATTTTTGATTATTTCCAACTGAGGTCGGTCACTGAATTTAAATTTGTTAACAGACATTTGATATTAAATGAGTATTGAGAGTGTACAAATGGATAGTACCTTGAAAACTGCATCGAATAAACTGGGCAAGTGTGCTTGTATCGAAGACGGATCTGATCTTTGACCGGGTATTTCCAATAACACGGGGTCCGATATGAAGAAAAATCTTGGGAAACACAACCTTTTCGATTAGGAAAGCAAGTTTAATTTTGAAATGATCACCAATTGCAAAATAATATGTGTCCTACCTAGATATCCTGTTAAATTGTCAATTTTTTAATAAGAAATGTAGTCAACGATCAATTTGTTGTTCGCATAAACGTCAACTGTGAGGATGATCAACAAATTATAACCTATTCGAAGATGTGTAATAAATGTTCAGTTTGAGGTGTAATTTGGTGATTTTACATTGGTAACACTGATACAAATGCACCAGGACTATTTTCAGTTTTCACATCACAGCAATGTAGATTACTTCGACCGTACCGCGTCGCATTTGATAATGTCTGCCGCAGTAGCAGACGAAACGCCAGAGCAAGGCTAAGAAACTCGAAAACATCGGACAATTTCAATATAAGACGCTGAATCACTCAAGAACGACCAGCTGTTCTGGTTCTGAAATAACTTATTTCAGGATAGAGAATAGAAAGTCCTATCAAACTAGGTATGATAAGATCCTCCCTTTTTATTGCAACAAGTTGGTAACGAGTGACGTCATTAATAAGTCTACTGAAAGCTCTGTTAACCAAAATTGTATATGAAAGTTAGGATGAAACTATATATCTGAAGTAACTAATGGAACAGGTGATAGTATTGCCTGCACTTTGAACCAATTCTATGTGTGAAGGTTTGAGTTTTGAAACAGTCTTTTCTGTGCCTGGCTCCAGATAGAGAGCACGTAGTGATTATTTAAGTAATTTTTTTGGGAATCATCCATAAGAATGAATTCCATCTTTTGAGGTATTCGTAGATATATGAAATCATATTTTGAAATTGTTAATGTTAAAATATGATTTTACTTCTCGTTTTGTCATCATTTCTGTCCTCATGTTGCAGTGTTTCCAATCTGGTAGAAATCATCTTACAATACCCAAAGCCAATATCTGATTGTGTTTTTGATCGGGGCAAATCTCTTTGGGAATCTAGAACTGGCCAAACAATGAAAATTAAAGACATGAAAATCCAGAGACCATTACTAGATCAAGCAACTAGTATTTTACTGAAAACAGCTTCTGACACTTTAAAAAATAAGGATCGTCTTCTCGCAGTAACTGTGAATGAATCTGGTGCTTGGTTAAATGCTGTTCCTGTAGCATCCCTTGGGACTCTATTGGATGACGACTCTTTCAGACTTGCCATCGGATATCGACTTTGTACGCCACTGTGTGTTCAACATTTTTGTAAATGTGGTGCATTTGTGGATGAATCAGGTACTCATGGGTTGAACTGCCGTTTTAACGCTGGTCGTTTATCTCGCCATTGTGCAATTAATGATCTGATCAAAAGAGCTTTAACTTCAGCAAGAATTCCTGCGATTTTAGAACCCATAGGCACAAGTCGAGACGACAGAAAACGGCCGGATGGAAAAATGGTAAATCTGTTGTTTGGGGCTTTACTTGTGTAGATACATTAGCAACTTGCCATCTTCTTGCTACTTCTGCGAAAGCCGGTGTTGCTGCCTCTTTAGGAGAAAGTTCCAAACTACGGAAATATCACAATTTGGGAAATAATTATATCTTTCGCCAAATAGCTGTTGAAACTCTTGGTATTTTTGGCTCTAAAGCCTTATTTTTCATCAATGAAATTGGAAAAAGGTAACCCACGAATCAAGAACCACATATTTTCTCATTCAAAGAATTAGTATAGCCATCCAAAGAGGAAATGCGGCTTCGTTTTTCGGTACTCTTCCTTATCCAAAAAACTTTGATGAAACTTACATGTTTCCTGGAAACCAAATTTATGAAGAAGAGAGAGGTGATAATAAACCACTTTATGGAATTAAAACAAAAGCAAATGAAAAAATACTTTCTCCCAGCAAAATTCTGAAACGGGTTTCGAAGATATTTCGAATTGTTCAGTGATAACTTCTTCAGTTGAAACCCTTGGGTTAAATGGTTTGAAAAATATTGGTAACACCTGTTTCATGAACAACGTAATCCAATGTTTGTCAAATACGAGATGGTTATTGGAATGTTTAAAAAAGGATGAATTCATGAAATAATTCATTCATGAAAGAAGATCAATACTAGTATTTCTAGTATGGAGGGTGATTTAATCAAAGCGTTTACAGAAGTCATCAAGAAGTTGTGGGCAGAAGATTCATTTGGTAGAGTAATAAATACAGCCTCCTTAAAAAACAAGATTCAAAGTTTTGCTCCTCGATTCATGGATAATTCCCATCAAGACGCCAAGGAGTTTCTTCGTTATCTTTTAGAAGGTTTACATGAAGACTTTAATATAATTGATGAGACACCTGAACCAATTTTAACGGAGATTGACGAAAAATTGAGCGACAGCGGAAATGCACAAGAGTCATGGCTCGCATATTTAAAGATGCATAACTCCAAGATTGTAGATAATTCCGTTGGTCAATTGAAATCCACGATAAAATGCACACACTGTGGACACTCATCAGTAACCTTTGATCCTTTCTGGGATTTGTCTCTCTCCATACCACAAAGAACCGACCAATTGAGTTTCTGGCAATACTTGGATTCGTTTACAAGAGAAGAAACTTTGGATGGAAATGAAAAACCGACGTGTTCGAAATACAAAGAAAGGAGAAAATGCACAAAATCCCTATCAATCCACAAGATTCCCCATATTTTAGTAATATATTTAAAAATATTTTCTCCAACGGAAAGATTCAGAGGCAAATTGAATGAGGTCATCGAATTTTCTCTAGAAGGATTGGATATGGACAATTTTGCAGCAGAAACTGTGGCTACTTGTTGTTATAATCTATATGCACTTTTACCGAAATCGCTTGTGAGTGAAGAAGCATACGTCCTCTTTTATGAAAAATATGGAACAAAATCGCACCTTTAAGATAACTGAGGGGAAGTTTCTTTGTGCAATTATTATTTATTTTTTAATAAGTTCTTACATGTACCTGTTTCGTTGTTAACAATTATAAGGAATAGAGTTTTATAGTAGTATTGTAGAATCATCTGGTTTTTTTACAACATGTTTTCATATTGTAGAACACAAAACCATAAACACCGTACAAGCATAAGAAGTGAAGAAGCAAAATTAGCATACAAGCACAACAATATCAAAGTATATGAAGCACTGA